GGCAAGTTGCCTACGTCCACGGGGCAAGGAGGGGGGAGATTTTACTACTAGAAATCAAGGGAATACAAACAGGGTTACAAATCTCTCAGACTAAACCCTAAAACAAAGCACTTGATCTCTCAAAGCTCTCCCACAATTGGATGCAACAAATCTCTCTCTAAGGCTGCTCAAAATCGTCCTTGAGGTTACCCTAACAAATCAGGTTTAGGGTATTTATATATTACAAAACGAAACGGGTCAAAAAACTAGAAAAACTGATATCCGCTTCGTCGGTCGACCGGCCCGGTCGACCGCGATCAATTCCGGTCGACCGGTCCGGTCGACCGACCAGCTCCCAGCAGAAAACCCAAAACTCCAGAGAACCCCTCGGTCGACCGCACCGGTCGACCGAAACACCTGCGGTCGACTGGCCCGGTCGACCGACCACCTTTCTGTCGCACAGTAACCTTTGTGCACGAATGCGGTCGACCGGACCGGTCGACCGTCGCCTGGTTTGCCTGATTCTTCTGAGTTTCTGTAATTTCTTTAATTCTCCACCTCGGCGAATGTTTCCACCAAAACTGAGCCGACACCAAACCATCCAATAGTCCCTCAACAAGTCAGGGAACCAATCTAGAGCTGAAACGTGATCTCCCCCCATCTGGATCAACTAATCAAACCGGCTGCATCTGAAAGACTGCCTACGTATCCTCTTGCCCAAGGAATCAAGCCGAACGTAGTTCACCCAAATGGCCTCCAAAGGCCCTCAAACAAATAGAAAAGTCTGCAACTCTTCCCCAATATCGCCAACGGTCTACAACTGATAGCGGCCCCAAACTGATACAAATCAAACACCTCCATCTGAGGTGAACCAATGGCCATATCCAGACTACATCAGCTATACTCGAATCAATCATCCTATCATCTGCATCCAAATCAACATGATTCCCAATCTGTGTCACATCAGCTGGAATCCCAAATGATGCAGTATGATCTGGAGTTTCCACCCAATGTGGAGTAGCATCACTCTCCACCTGCTGCGATGTCCCAATGATCTGATCACCACTCTCCACCTGTTGAGAGTCAAACGTGACATATCTGCTCAGAACAAAGTCAGAAGCTCCCAAACGATAATCAAATGAACCTCCGAATCCCAAACGTGCTATCGGATCGAATCTCACATCCACGATGTGACCAAGTGCTGGGTAGCCAAACATCCGACGCAGCCCAAAATCTGAAGCAGCTCCACCAGATCCCATATCTCTACATGCAGCAGTCGGCAACCTATACATAAGACGGCACAAACATGTCGCGGCCTGCACACCAATGCCAAAGCTCGACATCAAACACCGATCCTCCTCCAGAAAGGAACAGCTCCCCACATCTGTCATCTCACCTCGTCGCCTCAAAGTTTCCATACCAATGAAGTGTCTCCTATTGCCGTGAGCTCGTCACAAACGCAAGAAAGAACCCCTACCATAATCAGAACGTCGGGTTACCTTTCTACCAACACACTTCCTATATCTGTTGCGGGCTTCTAGGACTTCATACCAACGGGACTTGGTTGCAACCCACCAATGCCTAGAATAATCCCCAACTGCAGAAACCGCATACCTATTACCTCCCAATGATGCTCCCTTGGAAGGCCCCCGAATGCCTGAATGAACACCCCTCAGAAGACCCCTCGAATGATGGATAGAAGTGCCAAACTCCACCTCGGTCTTCTTGCTCATACCAATGGGTTCACATGACTTCAAATTGCAGGTCAAAGCACTCCTTAACAACCTATGCACGGTATTACCAATCAAATAACCCAGCATCAAACAACACCACAGTCTAGCTGAATCTGATGAAGTCGTCATCTCCCTATCAATAGCCGTGCTTCCAAGCAAATAATACAAATTGCTTCTTCTGACTCCTTTCATCACAATAATGGACCCCGATGTGATCTTCAAACGTGTATCCATCAAGGTCACTTTATAGCCTGCTGCCTCCAAAGCTCCTAGTGAAATGATGTTCTTCGACAACTGTGGAACGAACCTCACTCCTTCCAACTCCTGAATCACTCCGTCATACATCCGAATACGAACGGTACCAATACCACCAATAGAGCATGCATGTCCATTACCCATGAGCACAACATCCTCTCTTTCCAACTTGTGGTATGAAGCACCCGAATCCAACATCCACTCTGTAGAGTTGGCAACACAAACTGACGGCAGTGCAGACAATGAATAGCCCGAAGAATCCGAATCTGAATTGTTGCCACTAGTCTTGACAACATACACCTCTGGAACTTGTATAGCTTTCCCCTTATTCTTCTCGGCTTGATCTAACTTTGGGCATTCGGCTTTCCAATGTCCATCTTCTTTACAAAAGGCACACTGATTCCTACGAATCCCACGATGTGCACCTCTAGACTGTGACCTCCTGCTTCGGTTTGAACCATGGCCATGAACTACTAATGCATCTCCTGATGCCTTCTCGGAGGACTCATCAACACTCTTCCTCAACTCATAATTCACCAACGCTGAGGTCACCTCCTTGTAACTAACAGTAGTTCTTCCATTAATCATAGTTAGGACAAATGTACCATAATCATCTTCGGGCAATGAGTACAGAAGTAGCATCGCCTTGTCTTCGTCCTCAACCATGATATCCACATTAGCCATGTCTGAAAGTAGCTTTGTGAAGTTGTTAACATGCTCCCTAATGGAAACTCCCCTCTTCATCTTGAACTGATAAAACCTCTTCTTCAAGTGAAGCCGATTCTCAATGCTCTTAGTAAGATACTTCTCATTGAGTGTTTCCCACATCTTCTTCGCCGACGTCTCGTTCATCACGTCATAAATAAGATCCGGCGTCAAGCATGACCGAATAACTCCACACGCCCTACTATTCATCTTCTTCCAAACCTTAGCTTCCATCTCGGCAGGTTTCTCTTGTAACTCAAGAGTCTCCTCCAAATTCTGAGCGTCCAACGCATCCATCACCTGGCACCTCCACAAACCGAAATTGATCTTACCATCATACTTCGGAACATCGATCTTCATGTTATTGATGCTCAAGCTATGTATCGTCTTCGTAAAAGACGATCCCGATGTGCTTCCTTCACCCATGTTGTCGATCTAACTTTTCAAATAGGACTCCTTCAGCGAATCCATCAAACAAGCCTCAAGTCGAACTCGAAGCTCTGATACCAATTGTTGTGCGCGGTGCGGAAGCGTTCGAATCACACACAATCCAATAAGAGAGATCACAACCAAAATCAACAAGCACAATCACCAATAACAAGAGATTTACGTGGTTCGGCAAGTTGCCTACGTCCACGGTGCAAGGAGGGGGGGGGATTTTACTACTAGAAATCAAGGGAATACAAATAGGGTTACAAATCTCTCAGACTAAACCCTAAAACAAAGCACTTGATCTCTCAAAGCTCTCCCACAATTGGATGCAACAAATCTCTCTCTGAGGCTGCTCAAAATCGTCCTTGAGGTTACCCTAACAAATCAGGTTTAGGGTATTTATAGATTACAAAACGAAACGGGTCAAAAAACTGGAAAAACTGATATCCGCTTCGTCGGGCGGCCCGGCCCGGTCAGTCGACCGGTCCGGTCGACCGACCAGCTCCCAGCAGAAAACCCAAAACTCCAGAGAACCCCTCGGTCGACCGCACCGGTCGACCGAAACACCTGCGGTCGACTGGCCCGGTCGACCGACCACCTTTCTGTCGCACAGTAACCTTTGTGCACGAATGCCGTCGACCGGACCGGTCGACCGCCGTCTGGTTTGTCTGATTCTTCTGAGTTTTTGTAATTTCTTCAGGTCGACCGTGGCTCAATCCAGAGACTTTCACGGTCGACCGCCAGTGTTTCAAAGCTGTTTGTACTGTATTCTGTGCTTCACGGTCGACCACCAGTTTCTCACGGTCGACCGTCGAACTCATCATTATGTTGCAACGACTATATTCTGATTTGATTCTCTGGGGCTATTTTGGTCTTTTCAAGGTTGTTTTGGCTGA